CTACTATACTATGTAGTTTTGGAACTCAACTGTTTAATCCTAGAGACATGGATGTTTTATGGCTAGAATAGACCATAGGGTTCATTCAACAAACATGTGAGTGGCAACTTTAAGTGCCTGGCACAGTGGATGTAAACCTGGATTCAATTCTCGTTTACCTAATAATCTGACTCTTTCCTTTTGCAGAAGAATAGAACATATAGAGGTAGATAGGTTAGGAAATTGCCCAGCGTTACATGGCTTTGTGTGGTGGAGCTAGTAAAGCATGTGTAGATCCTCACTTATAGCCAACCGTAGCATTCCTGTTTACTTTTCATGTGCAATGAGAATATTGAGCAGTTTGGAAAACAGGCCACAGACTTGAGCATTAGTTTGTTCATTTGCCTTGATGCTGCTCATTGTTCTTGAGAATAAATGCCTGTCACTTAGGAAGACTCAAGGTGGCCATTGGTAAGGTCTTGCTACCAGGAGTGGTCAGCCTCTGGTCTTCTGAGGCAGGGACAAAGAGCACAACTTCAGCCAAAAGCAGTTTATTGCTTAAATAGTGTGATTTAGTATTTCTCCAAACTTAGGCCCTGGAGCTTCGGTGGCCCTGGCTCACATACTGCTATTCTAGAATGTATTCTTAATTTGCACGGGAATCTGAGTTTGCCTTCATGCTTGTTCTGACTGCTATGGCTAGTGACCTTGTGAAACACAGTGGTTGCTTGTGCCACACTGCACTTTTGGGTGGTTAGCAGTTCTATGGGAACTGATCTTTAAGACTCCCGTTATCAGTATTAGGCTGTGGCAACTTTTAGTATCTTGTTTTCTTAAATATTCTGTCAAAGTGACTAAATGTCTGCCGACAGCTCAGGTAGCTAAAGACGGCTCGTGTTTCATGGATGGTTTGTATGTCTGCAGCATTGTCAAATGCTTCAAGTCTGATGAATTTTGAGACACAGGGAAAAGAATGTAAATGAGAGGATTATACAGTGGGAATTTAGGTCATTTTTATGACTTACAGGTTTTAATTTTTCAAAAGATGATTTCCAAGTTTTAACTAATGGAAACATTTAACTCTGAAAACTCATGTAAATTTGATGTTATATCAGCCTGTGAATAGGGAAGGCAGAGGCCAGGCAGAAGAGGGAAGGAAATGGATGTTGTGAGAGGTGCTAGGGAGGAGATTTTGCTTCTGCACATAGGAGGGAAGGCACTGGCTGCTTTGTGTGAGCAGAAGATAAGGGCTTCCCTGGGAAGGTTATTTTGACCTTTTCCTGAATTGGTTAATTGGGAGGTAGTTCGGCTCCAGCTTTCATTTTCTTGGAAGTTTATTACTAGTATTATTATTTTAGACAGGAGCATGGATATTTCGTAGCTAGAGGATACTGTAGAGTTCATGTAAGGAAGTCAGGGTTTGGGAAGAAGAGGGAAGGAAATCTGGTGCGCCTCTGGCTTGCTAGTTTGAAGGTGGTGATTTTTGATTACAGGACTTTTGCCATGAGAACATGTCAGGAAGAACAGGTAGATGAGCCGATGCCCAGAAGTCTGAGTAGAGAAGCAGGCACGATATATCTTGGGGACAGGTGGGCTCTCCAGGGGTACTGAGAGGAGACAGCTGGATCTTGAGGTTGTGGTATTGTCTCCACCCCATTGGTTTGATGGCAATATGCGTGTCATTTTTTTTAAAAAAATTAACATTCCAGAATAATGCCCAAAGCACTGTAAACTTTTTGCTCCCTGTGAATACATTAGAGGTTACCTATAAATAAACTGTTTAAGAGTGAGAGCTGTGATCTGCATTTGGAAATATTTTTCTTTCATTTATTTGGCCAAGGGGAATCCTAATGTAGATTCAGATGTCACTGTGTTCTTGGGCTCTGTCCAGCTTCACCTTCACCACATTCTGAGGCACAGTCTTTAAGAAATCCCTCAGTCCTCAGCTCTTAGGTAGGTGGAGACAGCTGCCCTCCCTTGGAGGGTTAGCAAGCTCATACTTTAATACTAATAAGCTAGAGTTGTAATGTTATGACAGTGACATCAGTGTT